AATGTGGGGAAAGAGGTGTTTTCTGGAAAATGCCTTTTGTCCCTTCCCCTTCCCCTTCCCCCTTCCTCCCTTCCCCTTCCCCTTCCCCTTCCCCTTCCCCTTCCCACTGTTCACTTGGTTGGGCTTGGCATCCTAGGCTGATGCTGGATTAGATATAAAAACAAATCAAACCTGCTTGCCCTTAAACAATGTTATTTCAAGGGAAAGACCCCAACCCTGAAATAAGCCAGGTTTCAAGTAAGAATCTGAACTCTGACAATATAATCCATATTACATATAAATCTGATTTGCCTTTGGGCTATGGGGTTTTCCTATCAACTCCTCTAAGGATAGAGAAAATGAAGAGAAGGGATCTTTATTTATAGGCCTAGGAATGCTTTTTATTTTTACTCTCGAAGCTTTTTTGAAGTGAATAGAACATGAAAATGAGATCTCCACTCTTTGTTTTCCCCTCTATCCTGTCCTTCCTTTCTTACTCCCTTACTCTCCACCTTCTTCCATATTTTCAGAGGATCTATGATGTATCAGGACAGTGTTTCCCAGCTTTGGTTCCTGTGAACACTATTTCTATTTAATCCACAATCTGTCTCTACTGGAAATTACTTTTTTAAAAAATGTAATTCTCATTGTTTTGCTTATAAAAATGTGGACCCATTCCTAAAACAATAAGATCAATTAAATCAAGGGTTTGACTATCTGGTTGTATACTTCCCAGTATACAGAATAAATGCACAATAAATCAGTCAATGTTGCATTACGGGGCACCTCCTAAAGCTACCCCATCGATCACGTGTGTGATGGGAAGCTCCAGGGCTTGGGGCAGAGCAGGCCTTCCATAGGTGCTTTCTGGCTAACCCACAGTCTTATGACCAGTGTTGCTCGAGCTCTAGCTCCTGGAGAGCTTAAGATTCCTAGAGAGCTAAGATTTCCAGAGCTTCTGATTCAGCAGGGCTGGGGGAGTAGGGCAGCTGGGAGTCTGCATTCCTTTCTTTCTTTTCTTTTTTTTTAAGATTCTAGTATACATTTATTTTTCATAATAAACAAACTGGGGTCAGAAATTTTGAGTAACTTGAGAAGACAAAGAGTTATTGAGAAGTGACCACAGGAAATTGAATCCAGACCCTTATAAATTTGAAATCCAATGTTAACCTCTTAAAAATATCTAGTTATATTATTCATCACAGCAAAGTACCACTTCTACGGGAATTTGGTCTGGGGAATCTGCATCTCTAACATGCTGTCCAGGTGATGTCCATAGTGCTGGTCTGAGTACAACTGAAGTAGGTCTCAGGCTGCTGGGCATCAACCCACCAGATTCTGATTGTTCAGGTCTGGGTGAGTCCTTGGAATCTGCTTTATTAACCAGCGTTCCAAGGAACCTCTGGAGACCACCTTTGAGAAACACTGCTGGGACTACCAATAGCACCTGGAATTCAGAGGTTAGGTATAGAGGTGTGTGACCTGCCTCAAGGTCACTCTGCAAGTCGGGGACAACACCTCTCTGTTGCTTGGGTCTTAAGCCTCAGCACATCCTGGACTTCCCTTTCCCTCCTACCCCACATTCAGTGTGTCAGGGAACCCGCTGGCTCTTCCTTCTCTAAAATTTGGACTTGGGGCTGAGACTGTAAATGAAACAAGACTGTAAAGTGTTTAGAATTGTTGAAAATGGGAGTTCATTTTATAACTTATTAGAGGCCCAGTGCACAAAAATTTGTGCACTCGGGGGTCCCTCAGCCCGGCCTGTGCCCATTTGCAGTCCAGGACCCCTTGGGGGATGTCCACCTGTCGATTTAGGCCCACTTGCAGTCAGACATCCTAGTGGCAGCCAGGGAGCCCTCGGGGGATGTCCAACTAAAGGCTTAGGCCCCCAAGGGAGCTGTGATGAGGAAGCTGGAGTGACAGAGGAGCCACGCTGTCCCACCCTGTCACCCTGGGTCGGGTCACACACAGGAACCCCAGGTGGGCCGGGTCTCAGATAGCAGGCCTGGATGGCGGCAGGGCAGGTGGGATGGTGCTGTCCTGCCCCACCGCCCCAGGTGGCAAATAGCAGGCCCGGGTGGTGGCGGGGCAGGCGGGATGGCGCTGACCCGCCCTGCCTGCAGTATGCAAATTAGCTGCCATCTTTGTTGTTGGTTAATTTGCATATTGTGCTGATTTGCCCATAGGAGGCGTAGTGAAGGTACAGTCAATTACCATGTTTGTCTATTATTAGATAGGGTGATTTATATGTGATTTTTTCCATAATGAAAGTTTTTATATTTAAACCTATGAGATAACAAAACCATGTCTCTCTCTCTCTCTCTCTCTCTCTCTCTCTCTCTCTCTATATATATATATATACTTAATTGATTTCAGAGAGGAAGGGAGAGGGAGAGAAAGAAACATCAATGATGAGCCTGATTGGTGTGGCTCAGTGGTTGAATGTAGACCTATGAACCAGGAGGTCACGGTTCAATTCCTGGTCAGGGCATGATATACTACTTTATTGTCTTCTTACTAGAATGAAAATTCCTTGAGAGCAAAAACTTTATGTCTGATTCTCTGCTGAATCCCTAGAACTTAGCACAGAGCCTAGCACATAGTAGTTGATCAATAAATACCTGTTACTAAAAGGATGTTGAATAACCACTCAAGGGAACTATAGCTTCATGTGGCTTTCTGTTTCTTGGGTGATCTCCCCCAAATCCCCTGGCAGTGGCCAACCCATGGCAGAAGCCCAAATGGGAGTAAAGTGCATCCTATGAACCGGGGGCAGCCGAGCATGTGGTTACCAGGACTGGCTTTGGGAGGTCAAATCCTGGCTTACAGCCTCCACCTACCTGTGTGGCCTTGGGAAAATTATGAGCATTTTCTAAGCATCCATTTTCCTTGTGCAGGAAGAGGATAATAACAGTTCCTACTTCCCAGGGCTGGGGTGGGGACTAAATCAGAGACTGCCCATAAATCACTGAACAAGCACAGTGCCTGGCACCGAGTAGGCGTGCGACAAGAAGCAAACGAACGAACAGTCACAGATGAGCCTTTGTCTCTTTCACGTTTACAATGTGCTCTTGTACATGCTTTATCTGATTTGAGCCCTTCAACAACTCAGTCAGTTTTATCACCATTTTATAGCCGAGAAAACTGGGTCAAAGAGGAATAAAGTGCTTGCCTAAGAACACACAACTGACTACAACTCTGGTGCCCTCTCTCCCAGAAACATAAGCTATTATTACAGCCGATGCTAACCAACATGATTTGGATGGCCCTTCAGAGCCCAGACATGTGCCTCGTGTGAGGCGGTGATGGACACATGAATCTAACCAATGAAATCAGCCTTCGCAACTAGCCGATGGAGGCAGGAGTACACACATGGGCTCCGTGTCTCTGAATGAGGCTCATGAACAAGTCTGAATAGATAAACTAACTCTCAGAGTCCATATAGAATGTAAAAATTTCACTATTTTCCCAAGAGCAAAAATACAAAAGCCCTTCCTGTATAGTCTCTCCTGCTTAGAGTTGGGCAGCAACCCTAAGCAATAAATGTCACCTTTGGTGTTTGACACCCTGGCTGTCCTGCAACCTCTGGCCAGTCTGCCCTGACCAAAAAAAAAAAAAAAAAATTCCCTTCCAAAGCCCCTGACTAAAGATCTGGGCCTGGCTCTCATGAGAATATCCTTCATCTTCCCGGGATCGAAGACCCAGAGAAATCCCAGGGTGGTGAGAGATCTGCAGGTATTAATTAGACTTGAATTTTAGAACCAAAGTCAGACTCTCAGGAGTCATGGATTATTACAACCACAGCATCTGGGAGACAAAGAAACGTACGAATGTAACACTTTAAGGCGCATGGGATCAGAGGTAACATTGGACAGAAGGTGACAAAAGTTGCTTCGAAACAGGGACTCCAATGCATCCGGGTTTGGGGCATCTTCTGTCTGGCCAGAGGCTTAGCAAACACTCCCTTGTGAGAACATGGTCTGAGGGCTCCAGCTGCAGGAGAAAGGCTGGGAGTACAGGCCTTGGACACCAACTTACTGGCAAAATTCTACAGCCAGGCCCGAGGCAAGAGAGCAGGAGAGGAGATGGCAGCCTTCAGAAGGACCCCGCCAGGCTGGACAGCCCAGTGGTGTGTTATAAGACCCCCATGGTGCCAGGTTTGTGGCAGGCCACCAACTACCAAGAGACGGAGACCAATGCCATGATGGCCTGGTGCGATGGCGTGGGCTCTGTGCAGGGATGTGCCCTGCAAGCAGCACTCAGCCGTCAGGGGAACTCTGTGGCACCATGACTGGGAACTTCTATTTGCAAAGTGTTTACAATGGAGGACAGTGTTCAGACCCCAAACCCTGGAAAGGGGTCAAGAAGTGGGGTCGACAGTGGCTCTGGTGAAGCAGTGGAGATGAGTCTGAGGGCCATTCTGGGGGTCATGTGGAAAAGTGGTGAACACCCCCACCCCACCCCTGGCCTCATCTACATTCAGTAAGGTCACTTACATTAATTAGGTACTTACATTAATAAACTTCATTGATTTTTTTAAAATGAGAGAGAATGCTAGGGTAGTCATGACCTTGTATCAAAACTAGGCTGCTCAGAGTGAAACCGGACAATCAATTGGTCTGGGCTGCCTGTCACTACTTGAGCCAATTAAGTAGAGACAGGGTTGAATCATATATGAGTGTTTATTCCAACAATGCTGGCAGTATGAGAGAGCAGCAGGTCATCGACAAAAATCTGCTCTCTATCCCTCCCTCCCCCATAAACCAGCTGCTTATATTGGGTAGAAGGACAAAGATTACATGGGGAAGTAGGCAAAAGGGATAAGAATAGGTATGCAAAATGGGCAGTTTACAGGTAATGTGGGCTGGGGGTTTGCAAAGACCTGGAGTTTTGCAAAAGTCTGGGGGCTTGTAAAGAGCTGGCACCTCTGGTTTCTGCAACGAAGTTGTTAATCTTTCCATGATAACAGACAGCTCCCAGATGTGGAGGATGGGACGAATTTCCAGGTGAGCTCCCAGGTCCTGTGTGCAACTCCCAGCCAGGTGGGAATGTATTTTCTTTAATCATAACAAAACAATGACAGTTAACAGAGCATGATTAATCTATATATATAAAAGCCTAAGTGACCAAATGACAATTTGACCAGTTGCTATGATGTGCACTGACCATCAGGGGGCAGACACTCAACGCAGGAGCTGCCCCTGGTGGTCAGTGCACTACCACAGTGGGAGCGCCACTCAGCTGTCCCATGGGTGCCAGACGCCAGGCGCAGCGGGGCTGGGATGAGCGGGAGCTGCTCGGGGGACCAGCCCGGGCTCAGGCTCCTCCCCGGCTGCCTGCTCCTTCGAGAGGGAGGAGGCCAGGCTGAGGGATTCGTGCACTGGGCCTCTAATATTTCTTATAATTATAGCTGGTCCCCAATATTCTATTTCTGCCCCTAATAAGAGCAGAGTAGACCAAAAGACAGTGGTTAGACTGTTTTGCTGGTTGCTGGTGTGAGAAACTCCCAGAAGCACAGGAGCAGGGAAGATGGTCTGGCTCCTAGGAACTTGGAAGTCCTGTACCCTGGGAGATGGACCATCTTCTGCCCCAGGAAGTCCCTGGTACTTTTCTCTGTCCTTGGCAGCTGCTTCTCTTTTTGGCCTGCTCCTTTGGGGATCAATCCTGGGAGCAGCTCTGGGTGCCAGGCCTGGCTGGAGGGACCAGCTAGGCTGGTGACGTGCTCCAGCCTAGATCAGAACTCGTCCCGCAACTGTGGGGGCCAGTCCATGCCAAAGAAAGAGGATGTCCTCCCCATGAGGTCTCGTTCCCGTTTCACGAACGCGGAGAAGGAGGAGACACAGTTGCCTATGAAGTGGTCAGCTTGGCCAAGGATGTACAGGTCGATCTGGGCCACCTCAGGCTGCAGGCTCACCACCTTCACCTGCAGAAGGAAGGGCAGGGCATTTTAGCCAGGGTGAAGGCCAAGGTGGCCAGCTCAGCCAAGGCCTGCAGCCACATTCCCCGTGTTCTTCCCCTGTGCTGAGTTACAGACACAACAGGAGGTGTGAGAGGATTAAGAGGTAGGGCCGGCATCTAAGAGAAGTTTGCCCAGCAGCTGCCCTGGCCTATCCCCACATGGAATACTAGCCCCAGCACTCTTCCCACTGCCAGCCTTAGCTCCAAACACACCACTCACTCACACTCACCTCCGCTTGCTAGTTTCCTTTGCCTGGAACACCTTTTCTCTGCCCATTGAAATCCCTACCATACTCTCAAGTCTCAGCTCAAGTTCTATCTTTCTCATGAAGCCCTAGACTGACAGGCTTGGCTTCCCGCACCAAACTGTGATCTGACCAAAGAGTGCTCCACCCATCCACTTCTGCTGCCCGATGCCTCTGAGCCTAAAATCTTATCCAATTTATTCCCAAGATATTCCCCAAAGGTAAACCCTTCTCTTGATGGAATACCACTTCCTGGCCAGCCACCATCCTCCCTTTGTTCACTGGTCTCACTGCCTCTCCTCCTGGCCTGCTCCCCACAGTGCAGCCAGAGAAAATCTTTTTAGATCCTTCTAACCCCATCATCTCCACCTCAAATGGTGCCCTACTGTTCTTCAGGTAAAGGTGGCAAATCTTTTTTAAAAATATGTTTTTATTGATTTCAGAGAGGAAGGGAGAGGGAGAGATAGAAACATCAATGATGAGAGAGAATCATTGATTGGCTGCCTCCTGCACACCCCACATGGGGATCGAGCCTGCAACACGGGCACGTGCCCTCACTGGGAATCAAACCATGACCTTCTAGTTCATAGGTTGGCGCTCAACCACTGAGCCATGTCAGCCAGGCAAGATGGCAGATCTTGACTGTGGCCAATAAAGCCTTGTTTAGGCTCCGTTTCCATTTCCTCTCATACCTCCAGCCGCTACGATCCAGGCGCCCACCTTCCTCAGGACCTTTACATATGCTCTTCCTCCCATTTGGGGTGCTTCTCTTTGCTTGGTTAACTCCTACTTAACCTTCACTCTGCAGCTCAAGTCTTGCCTCCCTGGGGAAGTCCTCCCTCACCCCCCCAGTCTAGGCAAGGGTCCTCTGTTCTGCCCTCTGACAGAACCATGTTCCTTTACTTTGGAGTGCATGTCTGTTTGCCGTTTTTACTCCTTAGTGATTCTCTGACTAATGTCAGTCTCCTGCACCTGATGGGGGCTGGGCTGTGTCAGTTTGCTTGTCACTGCTGGCTGGAGCCCTCCTCAAGAAGCATCTGTTGACTGGGCAAGTGAATGAATGAGACTCCCTCCCCTACCCCTGGCATGTATTATGGTTCTCTGCAAAGTTTCTTTTCTTGAGTCTAGAGCCCTGGAGGGTCGAATCACCTCTTATTTATCAGTATCTCCAGCTCAGCACTGGCCAAGCTTAACGGAGAAGCAAGACTTAGTCCAGAAGAAAGGGGGGGCTCTGAGCCCATGGAGAAGGGGGCTGAGGAGTAGGGAAGGGCAAGAACAATGGTGCAGAAACAGGAAATAGAAAATGGCAAGAAGCTCACGGCATAACAAGTACATTAACTAAAAACTCACAAAAAACTCCCTGGGACTCTCCACATGCTTCAACTTAGTACTGAGATGGCAGTGTGGGCAGAGCTGGGCGGAAAGTGCTTTGCTGTCACACAGAGATTTCTGATGTAACAAAAATCATCATCTTGCTATTTGGATTTTAGCAAAGAAATAATATGAGTTTAATCATGGCCCAAAAACCCCTGAACAATTCCATCTACGCCCTGAAACTTATCCCCTGTGTCACACCCATAATTAGCTCTGGCACCTCTTGGGTAAATTCTATCCCTTCCTGGGACTTTGGTTTCCTCAGCAATAAAGCACAGGGGTTGGGTTAGAGGTGCTCGGAGGTCTCCCAGCTCTGCTATTCTTCTATAAAGTGGGTGGTGGGAGACCAGAATGCACTGACTCAGCACTTTTGCTGTTGTGAATCCTCACCTGAGGATATTTTTCCCATGGATTTTTAGAGACAGTGGGAGAGGGAAAGAGAGAAACATGGATGTGAGAGAAATACATGGGCTCATTGCCTTTTGCATGCACCCCGACCAGGGCCCAGGCTGGGGAGGAGCCTGCAAACAAGGTACGTGTCCCTAACCGGAATCGAACTCAGGACCCTCTGGTCCACAGGCCGACACTCTATCCACTGAGCCAAACCAGCCACGGCTGACTCAGCACTTTTGTGTCTGCGTAAAATCCTGTGTCTGGTGTAAAAGAGAGAAAGGGAGCGAAGGCACCCATTGCTAGAAAGTGAGGGCAGCTTCGGGGTTTGGCTCAATGGATAGAGCATTGGCCCAGGTTCGATTCCGGTCAAGGGTATATGCCTGGGTTTTGGACTCCTTCCCCAGTAGGAGGCATGATTCTCTCTCATCATTGATGTTTCTATCTCTCCCTCTCCCTTCCTCTCTGAAATCAATTTTAAAAAATTTATATATATATATATATATATATATATACAGAAAGTGAGGGGACTCATTCCCTTTTAAAATCTGCTCAAGCATTTAGGGCTTTCGTTCATTTGGTGTAGTCTTATTGAATGCTTACTATTAATTCAGTCATTTTATTGATACAAGCTCTTCATGCATACAGTACCAAGCACATACATTCTACTGCTTATTCATATACTGAATACCTACTATTCACAGCGTTTTAAGCATTAATTAAGCGCAAAAGACCCTTCTCTTTACGTATAAACCCCCAACTTCTACAAATGACAGCTAACTTCACTGAGCACTTACTGGTACCAGACAGCTTTAATTTCTTATATCCGATCTTCGCTGATGACATAGGTACCACCCTTAGTCCCCACTTACAGACAAGGAAACAGAAGCACAGAAAGGCAGTGCTTTGTGTAAGGCTGCACGGTGAGTGGAACCCAAGTTCTCTGGCTCCAGAGTCCATGCTCTTTATTTTTTTAAAGATTTTCAGAGAGACAGACAGAAACATCAATGTGAGAGCGAAACATCATTCAGCTGCCTCCTGCATGCCCCCAACCAAGGACTGAGCCCACTACCCGGGCATGTGCCCTGACTGGCAATCGAACCAGCAACCTTTTGGTGCATGAGACGACAGCCAACCAATTGAGCCACACCGGCCAAGGCAAGTCCATGCTCTTGGTTCCTCTGCTACACTGGACCTCTACTGGGGCCCAATCTTCAGATCCTCATTCAGCAAACCTTTACCAACTGTCTACTATGTGTTAGGCACTGTCCTAGACACTGGTGATGGCCAAGGTGGGGTCTCAGCCCTGGAGGAGGTCAGAGCACCTGGCTAGACACCAAGAAATAGGACAGTCTTGGATCCTACCTTCAAGGAGCCACAATTCCTGGGAAGAAATAACGCATGTTTCTACACTAGACTCAGTCTAGAAAGCATCTCAGAGAAGATTTAATAAAATTCTGTGACAACTCCCAGTCAGGACACATTACCTGCAGAAGTGAAGGGAAAACTGGAGAGAATCTGTAGAGGTGTATGAGCTGGGGTTTGAAAAAAGGGTAGGAATTGGAGGGGGCCTGGATGTCCAAGCAAAAGTCTGGTGGCAGGAGGACACAAAGGTTGTAGGGGGAGAGTGGGAACACCCGGGCGCTCTCCCAGATTCCCTTCCTGCTGCACCCCCACAGGCCCACGCATACCTTCCCTTTGAGGAGCTGCTGGATCTCGGGCACGTAACTCTCAGAATCCGTGGCGATGTAGACAGACCGGGCCTTTTGAGCCCACACCCAGACCTCCACGGCCCGCTTGATTTCCTTCAGGTCTGGGAGGCACATAGTCATGGTGAGAGGGGTCGCTGAGTTGCGGCTGTAGCCCACACACTGCGGAGAGGCCATGAAGTGGGAGTCCGCAGTCCCATCCTTCAGCATGGCACAGGCGTTCTTCTACGGGGTGGGGTCGGGGGGACAGAGTTAGGAACAGCAACTGGCCTGGAACCCCAGAAGCCAGAGGTGGTAAGCAGAAAAAAGGCAGGCTCAACTATGTTTTTTGTGTTGTTTTTTTTTTAAAGCATCGAGGGAAGAGGGAAATGCATCAAAACAGTAACAGTTGTTTCTGGGGAGTGGGATATTGGCTTTTTATAAAGTTGGTTTTTCTTTGTGTGTTTTTTTTTTTTACTGGTTTTACTGCATTATCTTGGACTTCCAGTCGAATTCTGAACCAGGGTGGCGATAATGGGCAGCCTTATCTGATTTCTGACTTCAGTGGGAACAGGTCTGATAGCTCCCATGAAGTACGTGTTTGCTGTGGGTTTCAGGGAGATAGCCTTTATCAAGTTAAGGTGGGTCCCTTCTATTCCTGCTTGGTTAAGAGTTTTTTTAAATCATAAATGAGTGTTGACTTTTCTCAAATGCTTTCTTGGCCTCTGTTGAGACGATTATATGATTTTTCTTCACTGGATGTTAATATAGTTAATATATAATTGCATTCCTAGGATAAATTTTACTTGTATGGATTTTACTTGCTGACCTCTTACTTAGGATCTGTGCATCTATGTTCCTGAGTGAGAAAGGGCTATATACTTTTTTGAGTTGACCTTATCTGAGTTGGTATTAGTGCTATGCTAGCTTTATAAAAAATAGCATCTTCTATCTTTTTATGTTCTAAGAAAGCACAGATGAGAACTATCTGTTCTTGAAGGTTTGGCTGAAACTACTCATAACGTATTCTGGGTTTGGCTTTTCTTTGTGGAAGTGGGGCAGGAAGGGAGTCTAGTGGGTAAATGTGTGATTACCTTCTCAATTGACTCTGAATGAATTTTGATCTAATTTCTATATTTTTCAAGTCTTCAATAATGAGTATTTCTAACACATATGCATATATTTATCTGCTTACATAAACTAAGGAGACTATATTACTCCTGTTATTTTCACACAGAGGATAATCTTATGAGGCTTCTGCACATATAAGCAGCCTCCAAATTCAGAGGATGACATCTTCATTTCTTGGGAGCCCCACCCAATCTCCAGAACTTGTTTTTAACAAGTAGACTATTGACTAAACACTGAGCTGGGACAGAGGACTACTGGAGTATGAGTCTGAGCTCTTGGGCTTGCTGCCTGACCCAGAGTCTAGCTTGATACTTCAGTTTATCCATCTGCAAAACCAGGATAAAAATGGCAACTTAGAACAAAAGCTGGCAAGCAAGCTCTTTGGAGCCACATGTTTGACGTGTCTATGGCAAGATCATGAGATACAGTGGGAACTCTCATGTAGGGACTCTACGGTCTTGGCTGGGACTTGGGACAATGGGTTCAGTGTTCAATCCCCAAGGCATGGGCCCTGCTCAGGGACATGTCCAACCCATCCAGGAGAGAAAGGGAAAGTTACCCAGTCGGAGCCAATGCGAAGGTGAATAGCGACATAGGGCTGGATGAGGTGGGTGCGGATCAGGGCCTCTCCTGTCTTCACCATCTCGTCTGACCATACCATGTACTTCTGCAGTGGCCTATGCTCTTCCCGGACGGGGAACTGGGCTGGGGCCCCTGGCAGGGCCAGCACTGGATGTTCCTCTGGAGAAAATCTAAGACCCAAAACACAATGAGGGGAAGTCAGACAGAATGCACAGAGAGCCTGGCTATCACCCCCACGGGAAAAAGGATGGTGTTACACCATGTCCTAGAGACTCTGTTCAGAGGCGCCTTTAACATGCAAGAAGCATGAGAGATTGTGAAACCCCAACGGGCTGATAAGAAACTGTGGCGGCGGCGGCAACAGGCACAAAATGCAATACTGTCCCGCCGCCTGGAATTTACAACCTTCTTTGCTTGTTTAACAATTAAAAATTTCCAGTAGAGCATTCCAATCTTTTGTATATCATGCTGGCTTCCAATCTGTGGTGTGGTAATTCACTCCAGGGTGTGGTGTCTGGACGGAGCCTTGCCCTTTTACCCACATGGCGGGATTGGGATGTGCAGCTGCTTCCAGAGGGCAATGCACAGGCCACACTCACAGGGAATATGTACTCTGAATAAGCTCATTCACTCAACACTTCACACATATTTACTGATTGCCTACTATGTGCTGGAGCCCAGGGGAGAACAAGACAGGCATGGTCCTTGCCCTCATGGAAAGCATCAGAGTTCTACAGATGTCCATCATCAGACCTCCCTCAACGGCTCTTCTCCCCTGTACACGAGGCACCTTGTAATTACCTCAACCTGTCTTTTCTGGACTCACGCTTCTGAAGGTAATGCCTCCATGTGCTCAGAGCAGTATCTGGAACACATAAGAGCTCTACTAAGATTTGCTGACTGAATGGATGAGGAGCAAACCTGTGTTCCCCTCGTAACTAAGCCCAGACCTATCCCAGCAAATGAACTCTGCTATCCCATAAACTTTCAAATGCCAGATGTCTGCAGCCTTCCTCCTTCCACCTGTCACGCCTTCCTTCACTAGCCAAAACCCTGTTCTTAAAATTATGACACAGGCACAGCACTCTGGAAAATGGTTTGGCAGCTTCTCATAAAAGTAGACATGCAACTACCATACAACCCAGAAATGAAAACCTATGTTCATACAGGAACCAGCAGATGAATGTTCAGAGCAGCTTTATTCATAAAAGCCAAAAACTGGAAACTCAGATGTTGTTCAGTAACTGAATGCTTAAATGCACTGTGGTGCAGCCAACCAATGGAACACTACAGCTATAAAAAGGAACAAACTATTGTTTCAGGCAACTTGGATGAATCTCAAGGGAATTATGCTGTGTGAAAAAAGCCAATCCCAAAAGATTACATACTGTATGACTCCATTTATATAACATTTTTAAAATGACAAAATAGGGAACAGAAATAAAACTAGATTAGTGGTTGCCGGGGGCTATGGTATGTGTGCATATGTTTATGAATATTTAGGGAGGTAGGTAGGTATTGTTATAAACTGGCCACACAATGATCTTATGTAGAACTGTTTGATATCTTGATTGTGGTGGTAGATACATGAGCCTACCCGCATGATAAAATTGAATAGAACTAAATACACACACGTGGGCACGTGCGCGCGCACACACACAGACACACAGACACACACACACACACACACACACACACAAAGTGAGTACAAAATGAGAAATCTGAGTTAGATGGGTGGATTGTGTCAATGTCCTATAATACTGTCCTAGAATACTGTACTATATATAGTTCTGCCAAAAGTTACCTTTGGAAGAAACTGGACAAAGGGTACATGGGATCCCTCTATATTATTTCTTATAACTACATATGAATCTACAATTACCTCAATAAAAATTTCACTTAAAAATTACAAAATATTTCAAACAATACAGGAAAATACAGAAAATAATCCATATAACTAGAACCCAAATTAGGAGGTATTAATACTTTGCTTCAGATTAAAAATATACATACACCTAAATAAAAGCTCTATCTTATCATCTCTTTCCCTTCTTATTCTTCCAAGAAGATAATGTGGTTTTATGTATGATTACACTTTTACTAATGATATAAAAAGGTACAATGATATAAAAAGGTACAATAAAAAGGTATTATATTGTGTGCTTTTTATGAAGGGAATGGTAAAAGCATGAGCTGTTGAACCTGACGGCCTTGTTCTAGAATGCTGACTATGTCACTTGGTAACTTGAGCAGGTGACTTCACCAAGTTAGAGCTGATAAGAGAGCTGATACTAGTGCTACCTCACAGGGCTGTTCAGAAGACTAAATGGATTAATACAAGCACTTAGAACAGTGCTTGGCATATAGAAAGTTGCAAGAAAATTCTGACTATCATCATCACCATATCACCACATTGCAGGTAACCTATTTCAACTTTTTCAAACTTCAACATTATGTTTTAGAGATCTGGCCATATTGATCATGTCGATCATGTGATCCTATCAGCTTCTCTTAACATTTTCTATTTTGCACAAATAAACAGTGAGGTCCCCATCTGGTCCCCTCCTGCTGGACAGGGAGGCCGCTCCCATCTTTCACTCATACAGCAGTGCTGCAGCGAACATGCTACTTGCTTCATGCCCAACCCAAACACCTCAAATACCGAACTTCCAAGACCTGTTGCCACTCACAAGCTTCAGCTCCTCTGAAGGGCTCCCTGTTCCCTCTTCTCCTTTGATGCCTTCAGCACACTGATGTGCTCAACAACCATGTTACCTGCTCTACCATCAGCCCATGAGGCCAGGGGCACAAGCAGTCTTATTCACTGATTCCCACACACTCTTGTCCAGGGCCAGTGCTGAGGAAGTAACACACAAGTGTTCATCGAAAGCTCAGTTGGTTAGAGCGTCGTCCTGATATGCAAAGGTTGTGGGTTCAATCCTGGGCCAGGGCATATAAAAGAGTCAACCAATGAATGCATAAATAAGTGGAACAACAAATTGATGTTTTCTCTCTCTCAAATCAGTAACTTAAAAAAAAACGAGAAAATGAACTATCTTTTAAACTTGCTGTTATTTTGGATTTTGTTACATGTAGCCTGAAAGGCCTAGACCTGTGGCCATCCAAACTTTTGGGTGATATACAAGAGGGTTACTTGTGGTTGAAGGAGGTCAGGGGAAGAACTGAGCCCCTCCAACCAGGCCCCCATTGCTGCTCCCATGACACTAGGGCACTTCTGAAGAACTCCAAGGAATAGTTTGAAAAACCATTGACCTTGCTCACCCCTTCATTTTACAGATGGAGGACTGCAGCCAGAGAAGGGAAGCAATCTGCCGAGTCACACAGTGAGCCAGGGAGCCCATATCCTTACCCCCAACGGACAATTTTCTACAGCGAGCAAGTGTCCACTATTTTATTTTTAATTTTTAATTGAGATTTTTAGAGACAGGAAGGGAGGAAAGGAAGGGGGGGGGGGTGGAACGACATCAATGTGAGAAACATCATTTGGCTGCCTTCTGTAGGCTCTCTGACTGGGGAATCAAACCGGCAATTCAGGTATGTGCCCTCGATCGGGAATCGAACTGGCAACCTTTTGGTGCTTGGGATGACACTTAACTAACAGCCATTCTGACCAAGCAGCTTCCACCTTTTGTCCCTTGGAACATTCCCTCCTGGGTTGCACCCTCGCAGAACCCGGCCACCATGCCATGCTCTCAGAGTCCAAGCCATATGGAGAGGTCAAGTGTATCAACGCCAGCTGACTGCCCCAGCCTTTGGGAGGTGGTTAGGTTTCAGATGAGCTCAGGGTGGAGTCCTCATGATGGAATCTGTGCTCTTATAAGAGACAGAGAGCTTGCTCTCTCTCCAACATGTTTGAAGACAGCAAGAAGGCAGTGCCTGCAAGCCATGAAGTCCTCACCAGAACTCAACCATACTGGCACCCTGATCTCAGACTTCCCAGCCTCCAGAACCATGAGAAATAAATGTCCGCTGGTTAAGCCCCCCAGTTTGTGGTGTTTTGTTAGAGCAGCCCGAGCTGACGACGACCAGGTCTCGGCCCTGCCAATCACACATCCCGTTTGTCCTTCAGAGCACCTCGTCTTTTGGAACGATCTTATGTAAAAGTATTCACTGTCTCCCCCATTAGACTCACCCCCATCAGGGCAAGGGCCTTAACTGCCTTATTCTTGCCTGAATGCCCAGCACCCACACCAGTGCCTGACACTCAGGAGGTGCTTCTTAACTGTGGGAGGACAGCATAAAGGAAGGCAGCCGCCCAGGCGGCCCTAACTCTCTCAAATTGCCTCCAAGGACCTCATCTTCTCTCTCAGACTTCTTTTCCTAAAAACCTGGCTTCCTCAAGCCCTCACACAATTCCTACGGCCCAGTGAACTACAACAAGACTGTGGGGCAATAAAAAGGTGTTTCAGCAACATTCCTCGACTGATGCATCCATGCAGCACTGTCCCTTCTTTTCCAACCAGGACTGTGTGCTTTTTCTGGCTTTCTGGAATTTGCTGCTGGGGCTGCTTTTAGAGCTGGTGTCATATTTTCTTTCTTCCCGGCATTTTGTGATAAGGGGCAAATCTCTATGCATTCAGGGCAGGTCTGCCTTCTGGTAATAGCTCCAAGTTCTTCAGAGCTGAATGGGGAGAACCAAGTAGGTGATTAAACGGGACTGCACTACCTGGGATTAACAATGAGGGGTATTAGAATTTGCCATAACTGAGCAGCTCAGGAACTAGCTCTGAAGGTAAGTTCCAAATAGGAATTGGCAGTTGTTAAAGGCATAGCTGTTTTCCCCATGGTGATTAAGTATGGGGGTGCTCTGGAGTCAGGCTGCCTGCGTTCAAATCCCAGACTGTCACTTTAGGCTGTGTGATCGTGGGCAAGTGACTTGACTCCTCTCTTCTTCAATTTCCTTACCTGCAAAGCACACATGACAATAACACCTGTCCCAAGAGGCTTGTGGAAGGATTAAGTGAATTACTACCTTCGAAGACTTAGAACAGTATCTGGCATATAGTGGGCACTAAATAAATATTAGTTCTTATTACCTATTAAAGGCTTACATACAGACTGTATGCCCACTCAACAGCTGCATTACCTTGGGCAAGTTATTTAACCTCCCTGGGCTCAGTTTTCTCACCTGTCAAATGAAAACTGACCATAATACCACCTCATGGAATTTCTCAAAGGCTTAAATAAGATAAAACTTGTGAATAATAATTGTAATAGCTAACACTGGTTGGCCCTCTACAAGCTGCCATACACTCTATACCAGCCGTGGGCAAACTACGGCCCGCGGGCCGGATCCGGCCCGTTTGAAATGAATAAAACTAAAAAAAAAAAAGACCGTACCCTTTTATGTAATGATGTTTACTTTGAACTTACATTAGTTCACACAAACACTCCATCCATGCTTTTGTTCCGGCCCTCCGGTCCAGTTTAAGAACCCATTGTGGCCCTCGAGTCACAAAGTTTGCCCATCCCTGCTCTATACACTAGAAGGCAAATACCATCGTGCTCCTTCCATTAAACCAAGGAGGAAATGCAGGCGAGACAGCTACAGTGATTTGCTCACTCACTTGAGAAAGAGGCAGGGCTGGGTCGGAGCTCAGGCCCATCTTATCCTGAGCCTATGCTTGTTTCTCTACGTCAGTCTATCCTTAGCTCACTAAATGCCAAGTGCTCTGACCACGCATGAATTCATAAGCTTCTCATAGCTCCTAACCCAAGTCTTGACTTCTAAGCCCACGCTTTCTTGCCACACCATAGCATCAAGGGCAAGTACACGATGTTAGTTATCATTACTACTAGACAGGCGCTAGCTGAAGGCTGAGGCTGGGTCTTCCTTCTTTTTATATGTCACCTCTGGCCCTTGAGTACTATGTCTCATACATGACAGACGCTCTATAAATACCTCACAGCCTGTGCCTATGCCCTGCTAACCTATTTTTTAAAATAGGACCTACTGGAGGGCAACTAATAAAGCACATCCAATTATTATCAGGATGACATCACTCCTCAGTCTGCACCTAAAGCTGTTCTTCTCTAGAAGCTGCTTCCAATTTTCACCTTGTTAAGAAGAAGGTAACAGGGGAGTGATTCTCACGCCTAGAGGAGGAAATCAAGACTCATGTGACCGCACAATATTCTTTTTATGACATTCTTTATCGGCTGATAAACTCTTGCCCAACCTCGTGGCAGGTCAACGTTCCACGGTGTCAGGCATTGAGATGGGAACAGATCACACAGGATCCCAAGTTCAGCAGACAGAACAGCTGCACCTTTGGTCTCATATATCAGGGTGTGGTAGAGGGGGAGAGGGCCAGGAAGGTGCTGAATGCCCAGGGCTCCATACCTCCCCCCAAACCCAGCAATGCCGCCCCCTCCAAGTACCTCTGGATCCACTGGTCTTTGTAGGAGGCGCTGTAGGAAATGCCCGAAAAAAGCTCCGACTTGTTGAAACTCACATGAAACTGATCCCAAAATGGGCCAAAGGGGTTTCCTTCCTGCAGAAAGAGAGTGGTCAAAGGCTTACTGAGGGGGAAGGAAAGCCAACTGGGGATGGGACCAAGGAATTGTGGCTGGGGAACGCTGGGCGATTTTACTCAAGCTGCAACACCCTCACAGGATGGCTCATAGGAATGTCAGTTTGTAATTCCCGGCCTGGGGCCCGAGGAGGGCAGTTCCACCTTCAGTCTGGTTTCCAGCAGGAGAGGTTCACCAGTGTCTGAAGGAGTCTTTCCCACTCACATGCCACATCCGTTGACCCTGTAGCATTGATGTGGAGCTGGGGAGGAAGTGGACCGTGGATATGGGACCATGAATTAGAGCTTCAAGAGACTTTTAAGATCAGCTAATCCAATGCTGCTACTTTCAATATGGAAACTGGGGCCCAGACAGGATAAGACACTTGCCCAAACTCATACGGCAAGTGAGGGCAGTGTTAGGACTATAATCCGTCTCCTTTCTCACATTTCAAGGCTCTGCTAACCACCCTCCCCAGACTTTAGGTTAAGCACTGAAAGGCATATTGAGGACTGTTTTATTCCCAAGGTGCCAGAAGTTTACAATTTGTACTGATAACATATAACAGCGTCTCACTGACCTGCTGAAGACAGGAAAGTATACAACTCAGGAGAGTGGGAAATGGAGTCAAATTACCTAGGGCTGAATCGTGGCTCCACCACTTGTTTACCATGTGACCGTGGTCACAATACTGAATCCTCTGTAGCACTCAGTGTCCTCTCTATAAAACGGGGATGTTAATAGTACTTTCCTCATGGAGCACTTTGAAGATTAAGTGGGTTAATATGTGTAAAGCTCTTAGCATGGCACAGCATATAGTAAGTGCTATGTGAGCATTAGTTGTTACCACTGATGTGGCACTTTACAGTTTACAAGCACTCTTACACCCTGGCTCTCATGATACTGTATGAGTGAGACAGAGAAAGGACTGTCATCTTTGTTTTACAGGTAGAATAAAGGCTCAGAGCTCAGAGGAAGCAAAGTCCGCTGCCCAAAGTGACACCACTGACATATGCCAGAAATGACTTAAATCTCCATCTTTCTATCTTATGCCCTTCACCAGAAGACTTAAATTTCCGTCTTTCTCTCTTATGCCCTTCCCCAACATAGAGCCATCACGCAGTGTCTCATGGGCCAAGAGAACATCAATCAGGCAGAAAGGGCCCCCAGGTCCCCAGGACTCACCTTCATCGGGCATGTCTTCTTATCAGGGCTTCTCTGGGCCGCCACTTCAAAGCAGTATGCTACCCGCTTCTCAGGGGGCCAATGGGTGGGGGCCAGCTTCTCCATGAAGTCCTCCAGGCTGATGACCCGATGGTAAGCCTTGAGGGGCGCCAGCTTGAAGTACTTCTCGAAGGGCACATGGATCTATAGAAAAAGGAGGTAACAGAAGGGCAGGGTCAAGATATCTGTAAAGAACAAAGAGCAATTTCCCTTGGGTTAGAAAATGCCTCCTGATCTCTAAGGAAAAAGAGAAATGATGTGAGAGAGAACATGGGCAGAGGACAGGAGTGAACAACTCACAGCAAAGAAAACCCAAATAGCCAATACACTCAAAAGATGCGCAACTTCACTAGTTAGTAATTAGGAAAAAGCAAATTACAATGATAAGTAAGGCATTACTTCTCACCCACGAGATTAGAAAAAATGTAAAAGTTTAGCTCTAATTATTGGAAGAGATGTGAGGGAAGGGGCATTTTCCGCACTTGCCTGGAGTAGAAGTGTACATTTTGGAACAACCACTTTGGAATGTTATCCTGAAGCATCTAATAGAGTTTAAATTGCTCCTTCCACCACCTCGAGGTATTTGCCCTAAAGAAATTCTTGCACTTTGCACCAGGAGTTGGTTACAAGGACTCTCAAATATAAGAAAGAACTTGGAAGAGTCACACCAAAGACACTAAAATCCAAGATAGTGGTTGCCTTAGGGGTGGAGGGAGGGATTGGGATTAGCCTCAGGAGCCAAGAGAGATAGTATCTTTTAACAACTGTATCTGTAGCAAAGATGAGAAACTGTTAAATGACCACTTCTAGTGGTGGATACACAGATGGTGATATTAATCTCTGTTTCTTTCTAGATTCCAAAGAATTTCTTAAAACACCAGGAATAAAATTTAGACTTTATCCTATACGTCAGGGTTCCCAAGCTAGTTTAGGTGGATAAAAGATTCTGCAATAAGAAGACACCAGAGTTAAAAATGCTTGGGAAATACTGTGTTAAGCTGGTTTCCTTACTATAGGACTTCTCAGGGCCTTTAATATGCTAGTGTGCATTCTGAATCCCCAATTTGGGGGAGATGGGAAATTGATAATAAAATTTCCCAAAGTGATTTAACCACTGCACACTCCTTGTATGAGTCATTGGCATTCCAAAGAACAGATTTTGGGAACCTTAACTATTAGCAACAAGGTCTTGCTGGAGGATTTTAAGCAGAAATAATGAGATTTGCCTTTTTGAAAGATCACTGTGGTGGTGGAGGAGAGAACGTATCTATGGTAAGATTAGAGGGGGGAGTTAAGAAGCTACTACAATGGTCCTTTTGTTTGTTCAAGTATTCATTCAACATATATTTCTGAGCATCACACATTAAGTCCAAGTGAAGATGCAGAGGCATGGAAATTCTAGAAGATGTAAAAGAAAGTGAAGTAGAGAGCAAAGGGAGGCATTTGGGATAACTTGTAGATTCCTGGCTTGGTATCCAGATGAATGAAGGTGACATACATTAAGGCTTGGAATACAGGAGGTAACACAAGTTTAAGGGGAAAGATGCCAAGTTCTGGCTTTGAAAATTTGAGCTATTGGTGGAACATTCAAGCAGACTCAAAGGCCTAGGAGTTAGAAACAGAGGCCGATGGTCAGAGGAGAGTCTGGGCCACCGATAAACTTGGGAGGTACGTGGAGAATAGTGAAAGCCAAAAGAGTCAAGAGAAATTTATAGCAAAGCAAGTAATAGCAATAATAGCAACTAATATTTATTGACTGCTGACTTAGCAGCAGGTGCTGTACTCATTACATTTCATGGACTTGCCAATCTAATTCTAAGAGGAGGAATACAACCATCTCCAGGTCACTTATGAAGAAACCCAGGTGAACTCATCCGAGGTCACATAGTCAATAAGAAAACAGAAAGAGAAGACTCACCAATATTTAAACAGTGGGCAGAGATAGAGCAGCCCCCGATACAGTGCAAAGAGAAAAATGCCGAGAGGTCAGGATTGAAGCAGGAACAGGCTGTGTCGTGCAAGCCAGGGGAGTAAGGAAGTTCAGGAAGGAGAGAGGCTCACAAGGCCAGGTGCCACCAGGAGGTCAGTTGAGATGAAGACGGGATTTGGCAATTCTGGGGTCCCGGGACTTCCGTGGGTCCCAGTAGGTAAGGGGAGCCAAACTGGGGCGGGGTAAGTCACCTGTAGAAAGCAAGAAGCGAAGACTCCGAAAGACTCGGATGAGAAGGCAAGGTGAGAAAAAGAGGGGGATGAATGGGCAATGTCTAAATTATACCAGTGGGTGCAAAAAAAGTCAGAACGCCAATGACTCCTGGTTACTGAGGACTTCTTGTGTTCTAAGCACTTTATATTGTTGAGTTCAGTTGATTCTAAGAGAGAAACACACAACGTTTAGGGCATGCACAATCGCTAACTCGAATAGGAGGTAGCAACCGTTATTACCAGCTTATTTTAAAGCTGAGGAAGCCAAGACACAAAGAGATCAAGTCCCCTGCCCAGTCCACACAGCCAGTAAGTGGCCGCGCCAGGTTATGATCTCAGGTACTCTGGCTTTCAACCGTTGTTAAAAAACCTTGCCAACTACAGGCCTGCAAAGGAAAAAATAAATCCTATGCAAAGACTATAAAAATGAAATACAATGTTTTATACATACTAAATATAATTTTTAAAATTTATTGAAAACTTGTAAAGTCAATTCATTAAGTATTAATTCAGTCACTACTGCCAGACCCTTGGGGATACAGTGTGGACAAAGACAGACACAGGACAAGTGGAAGACACAAAGAATAAGCAAGGAATTAGAGGGTGCTGAGCATCACTAAGCTCAGGGAGCCCTGATGGGATGAAAGGTGGTGTTGGGAGTCTGGGTTTGTGGCCTTGGACACGTTATTTAACTAACCTGTGCTTCAGTTTACCTTTCAAAACTGATAACAGCATCCATCAGCTTTGACTAATGGGATGCACGAAGTGTGGGATCAACAAGGTCTGGAAATGAATGGGGCTTTAGGTTCAGGTCACAGGCTCTATAATCAAATACCTGAGAATTCCGAAAAGAGCTAATCTTCATGCAGTGCTCAGAACAGTACCTGGCAGACAGCAGGTGCAGGACAAATATTAGTTATTTTATTCCAGGGAAGACAGTTCTGGGTGGCGGTAGGGCAAGCACAGAGGGGTGGGAGGTGAAGCCCAGAGGACTTGGGGATCGAGCAGAGGTGAAAGGGATTGGGAAAGGGTGGACAAGGGCCAAGGTCAGCGGGAGGTACTCACATTGGTAAATGGAGGCTTGTGATGTTGGTACTCAATCCAAGGGGGTACAGCCAGGGTGCGGTTCAATAGCTTTGCAAATGCCAGGGAGCCCAAGAAGTGATCAGCCTGGTTCCCGAAGCGCCCTGGATGGTATATTGTGAGAGGTGAGGCCTGGGGCAGAGGGCACGGGAAATGCAGGGCTCACAAAGGATGCAGAGCCAGGGTTGGGGAACGCCAGGGGAGCTGGGAGTGTGGGATCCAGTCTAGATGCCTAACAGTCAAGGCCCTTCAGGCCCTGTCCCTTCTGCCTCAGCCACTCCAAGTGCCCTTCTGGTTCCCAAACATGCTCTGCACTCTACTCTCCACATCCTCAACCCAAGCCTCTGTTTTTTGCTGTTCCCTCCAAGAGTGCCTTTCCACCTCTATCTCTACTCACCTACGAAAGGGGCAACTCCAGTGCTTCATTCACTGGGATCCTTTCACCTGCCCCCTGCCATTACTCAGCCCCCTCCTCTGCGTCCCATCTTGGATTTGAGTTACCAAGTCTTCACTTATCCTAGAAGGTCCTTTCCCACTTTCCGACCTTTATAGTGGCTGTTTCCTCAGCCTGTGAATGCCTCGGGGCAAGGACCCTCTCAAATTTTTTTGTTTTGTTTTGTTATCCCTAGCATGGCATCCATTCATTCATCTCACAAATACTGAGAAGCTACAATGTGCCGGGCTCTCTGCTAGGTGCTAGAATACAGGAGTGAGCAAGAAGGGCAAGGTCTCTGCCCTTAAGGTACTCACAGTCCAGGTAGGGAGACATGAGATGTGTAAATAAATATACAGTGATAAACTTTTGTAATTTCAAGAAGGAATGAGAAAAAACTTGGTGATGAACAGCAAGGAGTAGATTATTTCGGCTGAGGTCAATGAAGTCCTTTCTGGTGACATTTAAACTGTGATCTGAGGATGGAAACAAGTTGGTTGGCCCTGACAGGTTTGGCTCAGTGGATAGAGCCTCGCCTGAGGACTGAAAGGTCCCAGGTTTGATTCCGGTCAAGGGCATGTACCTCGGTTGTGGGCACATCCCCAGTAAGAGATGTGCAGGAGGCGGCTGATCGATGTTTCTCTCTCATCGATGTTTCTAACTCTCTATCTCTCTCCCTTCCTCTCTGTAAAAAATCAGTAAAATTTATTTAAAAAAAAAAAAGTTGGTCTGGCAGAAGTGAAGAGGAGGGTGTCCCAGGTGTAGGCAACAGCACAGGCTGCAAGACCTGCCTATGTGTGAGGAATAGAGAGGGGTGAGTGTGCAGTTGGAGGATCTGGGAAAGGAGAAGGGTGTGATGAAGATGGGCAGAGGTCCAAATGATGATGGTGAGGGGTCTGGAGGATTAGGAAGGCATGACTTTTACCGTGATGGCCCACCACCCCATTTAAACTGCATCCCTCAGCTGGCCATGAGATTCTTCCTTACCTTTCTCTACATTATTTTCCCTAAGTAATATGTAATTACTGATTTTTTTTTTAATGTTTCTCTTTTATTGACTGTCTTTCCCAACTAAAATGGAAGCTCTACAAGGCCATGGGGTTGTCTGTCTTATCACTGCCATATCCCTAGAGCAGAGCACAGGGCTGGGCACAGAGAGAGCGCCCGGTAAATATTTGTCGAATGAATGAAATCATCGCCCAGAGTCCTTGTGGAGCCAGTGGCATCAAGTCCTGGCCCACGAACTCCGTTCACTGGACTCCAGGCGAGCTTAGACCTTGCGCAAGACATGCAACCTCTCCTGGCCTCAGTTTTCTCATCTGCTGCCAAATAGGGGGTTGGACCCAGAGGCCCCTCCGTGCCCCCGGCTGGGCGCTCTCCCGGACCCGTCCGGGGAGAGGCTTGGAGGCGCGGCTTCGTCTCCCGGGGCCTCAGTTTCCCCCGTGAGCAGAGGGCCCGGGCGGCCTTACCCATGCATGGGCAGTAGAGCAGGTAGCCGGCCGGGTCCCAGGAGCCCGCGAGCAGCCCCGGGAGCGGCAGGAGCAGCAGCAGGAGAGACGCACGCAGCGGCAGGGGCCGCCACGCCATCGCCGCGGCGCCCAGGTCGGCTCCCGAGCCCCAGCGCGCCAGGCGCGGAGGCGGAGAGGGCGGGCGGGGCGTGAGCGTCCGCCCCGCTCCCGGCGGGCCCCGCGCGCCGCCCGCCCGCGCACCGCCCCGGCCGCTCTAGCAGGCGGGCGGGCGGGACCATAGAGAGCCCGCGGCACCGCCCCCTCCCCTGCCCGAGCGCCCGCTCGCGCGGCTCCCACAATGCACCGTACAATGGCCCGACCGCCGCCACTACCGGGGCCTGAGCGGGCCCGGCGGAGCCCGAGCGCGGCCCGGCCCGCAGTGCGGGGCCCCGAGCGCGGTGAGTGCCGGCGAGGGCCCCGGGGGACGGCGGGGAGCGGGGCGGGAGGCCGTCTCGTTGCGCCCGCGCGCCCGGCACCCCGAGCGGCGGCGCCCCTCTTCTTGGGCCCCTCAGCGCGGTCGTCCACACCCCCGACCGGGGCCCCCTGTGCGTCAGCCGGGGCCCAGATAGGCCCCGCGGTGACGAAAACTCTCCCCGGACCAGCCACCGGGCTCTGGGGGCCGCGAAGAAACTCCACTGCCCCCCCCCTCCCGTCGGAGACTGGGAGCCGCAGCCCGAAGGGTCCACCGCCCCGGCCCCGGGTCCCTGGAGACCCAGACGAGCTGCACCTGCTCGCTCCCCGGACACGCCTCCTCAGACCTGCCGACCCCCGCCCTGCCGGGAGCCCGCTCTGCACCCTCCGCTTCCTTTCCCAGAGCCTCGCCACCCTGTTCGAGGCTGCCCGCAACCCCGGCAGGACCTACCCACGGTTCCCTCCGCAGCGACCCTCTTCCCGGACCTGAGGTCTCTCCTACCCCAACACCCGTTTCCAGACTCTTGAACTTCGGGGAATTCACTTGTGACTACCTGGAACCTTCCAGTCCGCATAATTCCCCAGTGTCTTTTTTTTTTTTTTGGGGGGGGGTGTTCCTTAGAGATCCAGTTGGCTAGCTCATGATCCCTGGTCATACTCGCCCTTCCTTCCCGTCCCTGAGACCTCCAAACCCGTCCCCGAATGTGTTCCTTCCCCGGCAGCCATCCCCCCTTCTCCCCCCCGCCCAGCCCCAGGGGGATGAAACCTTCTAGACTCCAGAAGCTGCCGGGGGAGCCAAGCGGGTCCCTGCAGTGCAGCCCCCCGCTGCGGCCCAGCCTGGTGGGGGAGGGACCTGTAAGGTGGACGCCATGGGGACAGCTGGCGTGGGGAGCTGGTGGTGCCTTCACCTGCCCGCGCGGCTTGTCTCTGGCTTGTGTGTTTTTCCACCTGTCAGTTTAGGGCTGTGATAGAGGCTGGCCTTGGGTTTCTGGACACCCCCCCCCCCCCAGGTAGGGTCACCAGATTGGGACGGGGGTGGGGGTGGGCATCTAATCAGCTCTCCTCTTGGTGAAAATGGGGCCGCAGTGAGCGGCAGCCCTTTCCTCCAGGCTTCCTCGCAGTGGGAGGCAGCGGGGATGAAGGACATCGCGAGCCAGAGGGACCCGAGAGGGGGCCCGTCCGAACGGACAGGACTGGCAGCCCCGGAGTAGACCCAAGCCCTGCTCATCCAGTCGGTGTCTCCTGGAACGGATGATGCAAGGCGCCGCGACTCCCCGGCCCTGTCATTTAACTCTCCCACCACTCCCCGTGTGTGAGCGCGCGTGCGGGGGCAGCTCTTCTCGTTCTCTGCGTCCCCCGTTTCCCAGCCAGTCAGTGTGTCTTTTGGATTCATTTCTGGTGCCCAGGTCAGGATCTGTGTTGTTGGGTGTGTTTTTTTTCTCCCTCTTTAAGTCTATTTATAATTTCCCAGTTGCTATTTTGGGTTCTGCTTAAGGAAAGATTCTATCCGCCCCAAGGAATGGGTTCCAGGGTGTGTTTCCTCCTCGGCAGGTGTTGAATTGAGTTCTTCAGATCCCCAAGTAGCTCTTAGGCAGGAGGGATAAAAGCTATTTTAGGGTAGTCACTGAAGTGGAGCTGTTAATCCTCTGTGGGTCTCTCCAGTTAAGAACACTTAGAGGTTAACCCTTTCCTTGCTGCAGGAGGGCTGTTTCTCCACAGCGTTTGAGAGGGTTGGGAGAACTCTAGTGTGGCAGCCAAAGGTGGGAACAGGCAACTCAATACAAAGGCAAAGATAATAGCTGCCTTTTGTTGGGTGCTTACTGCCAGAGAGGCCCTATGCTGAGCTCTTTGCATACCTGACTCACATAATCCTTACAACAAGCCTGTGAGGTTAGTATTTTTAGCTTTACAGATGAGGAAACAGGCTAATAATGGAGAAAGAACACAGTTTCTATAGAGATGATGTAACATCATAAAAACTAGTTTCATCAGAAGGCAGCGGGTATGATGGCTCACAACAGAGGACAGACAGGCTGGGGAGCAATTGGTCTCCTTTCAGCTTCCAAAGGGGGCCTACAGAGTTTTTAGCAGGCACTTGTATTTGTGGTACAGAGACTTAATAAAGGAAGAGATGCCTCACGTGAGAGAGCTCTGGCCCAGGAAGGTAAAGTAAAGAGGGACTGGTGAGAGGGGATGACTGAGGGTTAATTGTGAGGGGAAAAGGGGAAGGTTGCATTCTGGGGAGATGTTGGGAAGGGAAGGAAGCTGAGGTCTGAAAAGTAACATTAAAGGGGAGGGGAAACAGTAGTCCTACTCAGGCCCCATGTGGGAGAGAGGCAGACACAAATTAGATGTCAGAGATGACACTGCGCGTATTCACACATTTTATATGTCAGATGCTTTCAGGAGTATTATTTCACTTAATCCTCCATGAGAATATTATAGTTAAGGATAATAAATCTCGATTTTATTAAAAAAAAATTTTATAACCATTTATTTCAGCCAGATTGAGGTCGGGAAGCAAGATCTCAAATGTTCTCAATAAATCTCTATCTTAGAAATTGAGGAAACGGAGGTTCAGAGAAACAAAATAACCTGCCCATAGTTTCACAGCCAGTGAGTGGCAGCTCTTCTGATAGCAAGTCCAAGGTTCTTTCCACACTGCCTCCCTCTTCAGATCAGGTGCCAGAAGGAATCTTGGGATGAAAATATACTGAGTTAGACCAGTAACTGGGAGTGATTGTGTTTGTTTTATGGGAACAGGTTCTGTCAGCTTCTCTGTAGTTAAAGTTAGCATGTGAGACCAGAAGAGCAGCTTTGAAGGGAAGCAGAATTCTTTGACAGTTTTGCCAAGGAAGAACTGAAGGAATAGGCCTGACGTGAGAAAAGCTCAGGATTCCTTTGGAGGAGTGGAGTTTGCAGACAAAAGACAGAGGGAGAGAGACTAGATTCCCAAAAGGACTCCTTAAGGTAACACTAGCAGCTTTGGCCATCCAGCAGCTTTTCAATGACTGTAGGTAAGGACTTCCGCTGTGCCTTTTTAAAAGCTAGGGTGAGTAGGATCAGGGTGTTGGCTGTTTTCTTTTTAAAGCCATAGCCCCATTAAATGCAGATCAAGGCAAGCACATGGCTGCTGGCTTCCTCCTTTGGTTCTGTGAATACAACCTCATGAGCCTGTTTCCTAGAAGCCCATTACTCATACTAAATTGCTGTGTCTTGTTTGTGCTTGTTCAGGAGAACAGATGAGGTGGACGTGTGGGAGGTGGGGGATGTACTGTTCTCTTTCTGAGTTTGTGCGGAATTTCCAGGGCTAGGCTCCCCTCTCACATTAGCCAGGATGGTACAACTTGCTTCCCTCTGGCTGCCATTCCCAACTTTCCAGAGGTGGAGGTGCATGATTTCAGATATCAAGAGGAAGCAGAATTTGACTTTGAAGGTAAAGGAAATCCCCTCCAAATTAGACATTCAAACTTGAGCTTCCTATCTACTCAATTCCAAGGTGCATAGTAATCGCTGATATTATAAACAGGTAATTCCACCCTTGTGAAGAAGGAGGATACTTAAACAATGAAAGCAGGACATCAGGGACCTTTGAGGTTTATAATGAAGCAGGTAAATACGCCTTGACTTGAAGGCTCAAGTGGGACTAGTTTTTGGTGCTACCTATACCTCACCAGCATGTGATTCATGCAAAGTGCAGCCACCTTTGTGCAGATCATTCTAGGCAAATCTCCACTCATGATGAGGAAATGTTTATCATATTACATTGCAACGTTTCTTCAACAAGTGGAATGGTTTCTGAACAGGACATACATAGCTCATGTTAATGATGAGCAAAGCTCTCTAGAGCATGAACCCGCTGATCCTATCATCTCGTTCAAGGCCAGTCTGTTGGATGAATGGTCACTGTAAGCAGCAGTTGCTAATGAGCTGAGCAAGCATTCTGTGGCTCACAGCTAGTGTGTATGGTTGGAGCCCTCCCCAGATTCTCGTGGACAACCCCCAGCTACCATCTCTGCTCCCTTCACATGGAAAGGTCTCATGACTATATTTTGGCATGACCTCTTCAAAGGGAATCCCTGTTGCAGCAAATTGCATTGCAATTGGTACTCTTTGATGAGCTTGTGAATGTGAATGTGGATCTGTTGTCCCCTTTTGAGTCAGTTTGGTAACTCCTGTCCTCTTCCTCTGAGTTGATGTCAGGAAAGAAGTACTGACACCTGCTCCAGCCTCTCCCCTCCCCAGTCCCTACCCCGTCTATTCAATAAAAGAAAGGAGCATACTTCAGGGTAATGGCTCCACACTTTGGAAGTGCTATAACCCAGTTTAAACCAGAACTTCCTGAGCCTAAGTTAAGCCTATGAGAATCAACGTATATTCAACGATTAACTTACTCACCTAAAAGAAAGCTGAGGGTCCTTTTCTAGGTGCTAGGCGTATGGAGATGAGAGATGATCTGAGCCCTCAAAGAATCAGAGTTTGGAGGAGGAGACTAAGTTCTAACGCAAGTGTGCTGTTAACCTGCTCGTAACGGAGAAATGAATGTGCACTATGGAGGTCTATAGGAGGGGCCCCTCAGCAACTTGGGGTATCGGACAGGCTTTGTTAAAGAAGCATGGTCTGGGCCTGAGACAAAAAGACTCAGAGAAGCAGTGGAGGGCAGGATGGGACCAGCACTGGTTTAGTGGAAATGCTGAGTGTGCTGTTGCCTCCTCAGATAGAATCTCTTGATGTTGATGTGCTGCTAAGAAACACATCTGGCCCGGCTGGTGTGGCTCAATGGATTGAGCTTCGTCCCATGGACCAAGAGGTCCCCAGTTCGATTCCCTGTCAGAGCACATGCTCAGGCTGTGGGCTTGATCCCCAGTAGGGGGCATGCAGGAGGCATATTTAAAACAAAACAAAACAAAATCTGTCACAGGGGCTGACTTTTCAGGGTGTAAATTTCCTAAGTAAAGGCTTTTCCTTCTTTTCTGTTGCCTTTTGGGCATTTTATTGCTCCTTAACACCTCCACGAGTAGGAGACTTGTGGAAAGGAGTGGGTGAGGGGGAGTTAGGGTAAAGAGGAGGAAGAGGATATGCTGCAATCTCTAAGTTTAATGGAAAGGATGTGAAAGAGAAATTAGAAGAGAAAGTTTGGAGTTTAGGGCTTTTATTTCCTCAGATTATCTTGTTTCCAGTAGCCTAGGTGGCACTAATGAATAATGGTTACCACTAAGCTTTTATTAGGTTCCCAGCCTTTGCTGAATGTTTTATATTATCTCATTTAATCTTCAGAACATTCTTATGATTTAAGAGATTACTAAGCTTATTTTGTATATGAGGAAACAGTTCAGGGAAGTATTTGGAAGGGCCGGGATTGGAACGGGGTTCTGTTTGTCTCCAGAACCCATATTTCCATGGTATTTGGCTCCCTAACACCAGATGTTCTGATGTTTCAGGTGAAGAGATTGTTTTCTGAAGGCTGCGTTGGAAGCTGTGACAGAGCAGAGAGCCTGTGTGAAGCCGATGGGGAGGCTTTCTGAGTAACATGGCCCTTCGCCATTAGCCTTGCCATGACCACATTTTTCACCAGCGTCCCCCCCTGGATTCAAGATGCAAAGCAGGAGGAGGAAGTGGGCTGGAAAATAGTTCCCAGGCCTCGGGGCCGGGAGGCGGAGAGTCAAGTGAAGTGCCAATGTGAAATCTCGGGGACACCCTTCTCAAATGGGGAGAAGCTGAGGCCTCACAGCCTTCCCCATCCAGAGCAGAGACCATATAGCTGCCCTCAGCTGCACTGTGGCAAGTCTTTTGCCTCCAAGTATAAGCTGTATAGGTAGGTGACACTCCCATACCTCTTCCTGTCCTGAGGTTCCCGGAGGACAAAGCCAGAGACTCCACTGCGTGTGGCAGAAGAGGAGAGGTTAATTTGTCTCATAAATGTGTCCTGATCTCATAAATGTGCCCTGAATTCCAACCATTTGGGGTCACTCACTTAAAAATAATGGTGGTGTTTTTTTATTCAAACACTAGAATATGTTGGGTTCAATATCAGATAGCCATGAACAAACTAGATTGAACATTTTTTTCTATACCAGTTTCCCCACTCCTGTAAGGTAACAGTGAAAATCTTAGCCAGAAATTAGGAATCCATCTTAGAACTTTAGAAGGTAGAGGAGATGCTGTGATCCAATCTATAAATTTTAAAGTGGAGGCTCAGAGTGGGGAAGTAACTTACCCAAGGTCACATAGCTTCTTAGGTACTACAGTGCCTCTTCTACTAAACCATCCAAGTGATTACTTCTGTGTCTGTAGAGTCCCTGGTGTCCTCTGGGTCAGTGGCTTTCCTGAAACTTGTAAGCCCAAGAACCCCTGCTGAAGTGAAATTGAATGTAAGCAGAGCAGCTTTGAAGAGAAAGGGGCCAGCTAAAAGCAATTTTGATTTTATCTTTGCTTTTCTATTAGAGGAACATGAACATGCCCTTTACAAATGAGATAAGCTGCCTGGTGCAGTTTTTTATCTATTCATCTATCATGATTGATTGAGCTCCTGGTATATACCAGGCACAGATAGATGGGAGTGCTGGCCCTCCTTGAGTTTACTGTCTTAATGTAGACAGAGAGCAAATAGGTAAATATATGAACAAGATGACCACAGAAAGCCTCAGTTCCTTCTCTGGAAAACAGTTGATAGGAAGGAGCTAAAACAGGTTACAGGGTAGTAGGTGCCCAGAATTGCCCGCGTGACAGTTCTGTGGGCCTCAGGAACGCTTTGATTCTGTGCTCCTATGTCTTAGGTAGACTCCAGTTGGAGCTGTCCTGTTGGACCATCTTTTTTTTTGAGAATTTTTATGTGTTTATTTGAACCAAAATGATGATACATGCCGGGGAGTGTGAGCTCAAATGCTCCCTCTAAAACCGTCCTGGTGACAGTCTAGGTGACTGGGAGGCTGTAAGAAGGTCCGAGTCCAGGAGGCATGACCTCTGACTCCACCTATTGTGTGATCTTGGGTGAGTCACCGAACCTCTGAGCTCCAGTTTCTTCACTTGCCAAACAAGGGAAGTGGGCTGTGGGTCACGCAGCACTTCTCGTCTGTTCTCATGTCAGTTATGTCATAGGAGGTCAACAGTAATCCTCGTACGTGTGAGCATGAGAGGAATGGGCAGGTTTGATGCTCTTTAGGTAGAAAAGATCACTGGGTGCCATACTAGAGACAGTGGTGGCATTCCTAAGTGAGCCCAGTTCTCAGGAAGGTCTGTGTTTAAATGTAGTTTCTGCCACTTACTGGTGGGTGGGACTGCTCAATGCTTTTAGCCTCTTATGGGGAACAAGGTTAATGACTCAGCTCACACTGGGCCTAGCAAATGGTGGGCCCTAAAAGTCTTGCTGAATTGATTCTGAATGTATTATGGAGCTCTGGATTGTAATTCCTAGACTCTGAGCTGTTTTCCAGCCAGCAGGGAGCAGGTAAACCAATGGACACTGATGTACCATGAAAACATTTAAAATATGTTGCTGGTTTACATGGCAAACAATTTAAATGGTACAAATGGGCATGCAGTGAAAAATGAATGGTCCTCACATTTGAAGTCACTATTCTCCTCCCCAAAGGCACCCGGAGAGGTGAGGGGGAGGGTCAGTTTCTTATGTGTCCTTGCTGAGGCATTCAAACATGTATCCCTTTTTATTTTCACAAGGGATTGTATTGCATACATTATATTGAACTTCCTTTTTTGACTCAGCCCCAGATCAGGAAGTATATCTAAACTTCATTTTCCCTTTATTGTGTCATTTAAAAATTTTTAAATATAATTTATTAAAAGGAAATACATTCACATAATTAGAAAGGTACTAAAAGATGCAATGAAAATGCTCCATCACACCCATAAGCCGCATGTGTCTTCTCACCAAAGGCAACCAGTGTTGTCAGTTTCTTTTAGATCCTTCCAGAAATATTTTAAGCACATATAAGCAAACTTATACATATTTCCCTCTTTTTGTATGCATAGTGCCAGTCTATATGCAGTCTTCTGTCTCCTTGCTTTTCCCCATTTACTATATTTTAGGAGCTTTTCCCTGTGGGTACATGGAAAGCTGCCTCATTTTTAAAAGTTGAGTTATTTTATGAATTTATTATAATTTATTTAACCAGTTCCCTATTGATGAACATTTAGGTTGTTCCTGATGTTTTGCTACTAAATATACAAGGCTGAAAGAAAATAGTATATACAGGGTGGGGCAAAGTAGGTTTATAGTGTGAGTACATGGAATAGTTTATTGTATTATTATTTATTAATTATTGTATTGTTTTTCTTTTTCTTTTCTTTTTTTAAAATATATTTTATTGATTTTTTACAGAGAGGAAGGGAGAGAGATAGAGAGTTAGAAACATTGATGAGAGAGAAACATCGATCAGCCGCCTCCTGCACATCTACTGGGGATGTGCCCGCAACCCAGGTACATGCCCTTGACCGGAATCGAACCTGGGACCTTTCAGTCCGCAGGCCGACGCTCTATCCACTGAGCCAAACCGGTTTCGGCTATTGTATTGTTTTTCATACAGACAACTGTAACCCTACTTTTGCCCCCCACCCTATATTTGATTCTTCAGGTGGGCAGAGATATCTAGAATATAGTTGGCGTGGTATTCCATCCATTCCATTGCATGGCCCTATCATAATTTTTATATCTAGTTCCCTGATAATGGGCACCTCAATAGTCTGGCCAGCCCTTGTGATCTCGTCTTTCTTTTCCTCCATCCCTATCCCAGGCACATGGCTACCCACTCAGCCCAAAAACCACACCAGTGCATGTACTGTGATAAGATGTTTCACCGCAAGGACCATCTCCGGAACCACCTGCAGACCCACGACCCCAACAAAGAGGCTCTTCACTGTTCCGAGTGCGGTAAGAATTACAATACGAAGCTGGGCTACCGGCGCCATCTGGCCATGCATGCCGCTAGCAACGGTGACCTCAGCTGTAAGGTGTGCCTGCAGACCTTTGAGAGTACCCAGGCCCTGCTAGAGCACCTGAAGGCCCACTCACGCCGGGTAGCAGGGGGTGCCAAGGAAAAGAAGCATCCCTGTGACCACTGTGACCGGCGCTTCTATACTCGTAAGGATGTGCGGAGGCACCTGGTGGTGCACACAGGCCGAAAGGACTTCCTATGCCAGTACTGTGCCCAGCGGTTTGGCCGCAAGGACCACCTGACACGGCATGTCAAGAAGAGCCACTCGCAGGAGCTGCTCAAAATTAAGACAGAGCCAGTGGACATGTTAGGCCTACTCAGCTGCAGTTCCACAGTCAGTGTGAAGGAAGAGCTGAGCCCAGTGCTGTGCATGGCCTCTCGGGACATGATGGGGGCCAAGGCCTTCCCTAGTATGTTACCCATGGGCATGTATGGCGCCCACATCCCTCCCATGCCCAGTGCAGGCATGCCACACTCCCTGGTGCACAACACGCTGCCCATGGGTATGAGCTATCCTCTGGAATCTTCACCTATCTCTTCTCCAGCTCAGCTTCCTCCAAAATACCAGCTTGGATCTACCTCATACTTGCCCGACAAATTGCCCAAAGTGGAGGTGGATAGTTTTATGGCGGAACTTCCTGGAAGCCTGTCTCTTTCATCCGCAGAACCCCAGCCCGCCTCACCTCAGCCGGCGGCAGCTGCGGCCCTCCTAGATGAAGCACTGCTCACCAAGAGCCCCGCCAACCTCTCTGAGGCCCTCTGCGCTGCTAATGTGGACTTCTCCCACTTACTGGGCTTTCTTCCACTCAACCTGCCCTCATGTAACCCTCCTGGGGCCACAGGAGGCCTGGTCATGGGCTACTCCCAGGCTGAGGCACAGCCCCTGCTCACCACATTGCAAGCTCAGCCTCAAGATTCCCCGGGAGCTGGGGGACCTCTGAACTTTGGGCCTCTGCACTCCTTGCCTCCTGTTTTCACCTCTGGCTTGAGCACCACCACCCTGCCTCGTTTCCACCAGGCATTCCAGTAGCCCCCAAGGAGGCCCTCAGCTCAGTCTTGAAATCTGTCAGGGCGCTTCAGTACCCATCCTATCTGTATCCCCCATAAAGGCAGCTGAGCTTTCAGAGCTGGGTTCAAACAGAAAAAATCCAGTATCTGTATGGAGCACTTGGTTTGGGGGCTCAGGCTCCAGGATCAGTTCCAAGAGGAACTTTGAGCCCCAACCCCATGAAAAGATCACATACTATAGGACTTCAGGTATTTTTACTTTTTTTTTTTATCTGAATCGGGAGCCACACTTAGTCCTCTCTTTCTCCAAAGTGTCAGAACCTCATTCTCTTTGGAGAAGGGGTGACCTGTTGGAGACACAGGGTTTCACTTTGGATGACCTCGAGAAAAATAGCCGAAGAAGCCGCCTTCTGGTCCCAACCTGCAGACCCCACACAGTTGGTCAGGCCCTGATGACAGAGGGTCACTTGGCTCCATCACCTGCTTCCAACCAGCGGGCAGGAGAGAAGGCCTCTATTCTTCCCCATCATCCCATCCCTCCTGTACCAGCACCTCCATTTTCAGTCAGTGTTGTCCAGCAACGGTACTGTTTACACAGTCGCTTCAGACACACCATTTCACCTCCCTTGCCGAGCTGTTAGCCTTAGAATGATTGCAGTGAACATTGTTTACACACCGTGAATTCATTCCCACCAGTCCATTCCAGTTGGCACCAGCTGGAACCTTTTGGTACCTGGTGTTAACTGGAGCCCTGTTTACAAGGCGGAGTCGGGTCTCGCTGACTTCTCTTCACTTGAGGTCATATTTTTCCCCTGTGGGGAAATAAACTGACTTTGGACTGCTTCAGTCTCTGCCATCTTCCATGACTGTATCTGTTCCTGCCTTCCTCAGCAGTGTCTGCAGGAGACAGGCAAGAAGATTGGAGCGGTTTTCTCACAGGTCTGCAATTCTACTTTTCTCCGAGTATACATCATGACCCCCTCATTCTCCTCTTGAACTGGGGAGGGGAAGAAATAAAAGGCATGCCCACTTCCATCACCTCCCCATTCCCTATCCCCTACCCTGAGCATCATGAGCTGTTATCATGAGTCTTAGAAGGAGGGGCTTCGGTTCTAGGCTGGTGTGAATAGCAAAGGAGAGGGTGTGAACCCCTCATTTGTCTCCTAACTGTCCCTTTTCCAGGAAGTTGTGGAACTGTAGGAAGAGGAGTTTTCAGAAAGTTAGGACTGGGCAGATAGTTGAGTCCTAACTTATGGGTGCATCATTGCTTCCCACACCCAACTTTTCTTACCCACAGTGTCCCTCCTCTCTCCTCTACTTTGCAGATCCCTTGGACTCAGGGCCACTGTACATAGGCTTTTCTGCTCTCCATCAAAGAACTTCCACCTTCCTCTTGTGGCCCCCATCAGCTTTGCCCCCAATACTCAGCAAGATTACTTGCAACAAATGATTAGTTCTTCTGACTTGTGGGGCTCTCTGCCACAGACAGCACAGCCCTTGCCCATCCGAACCCCATCCCTGCTTCATCTCAGTTCTGCATGGGCACTCTTCCCACTCATGGAAGGGAGATAGCTCAGGGACCACCAATGTGGGACTCTCCTGAGATACCTCCACTCTGATTCAGAAACACACTTCTACCTCTTTACTGTTAACTCCTACAGATGCAGCCAGCAGTTTCTGGGCACTTCTCATGGCAGGTGCCTCGTGCTGGCTTCTCCACTAGGATTTCAGGACAAACTACCGAGGAACTGCCTCAGCCTCCTCCCAGTCCTCACCTTCTTCCCCTTCCATCTAGATAACTTAGGTCTATCATCAGAAACTGAGCAGGTCCAAGACCCAGGCTTCTGCTTCAGCCCAGGCCAGTACTCTTTGTTTGAGGTGAAAGCCTTAAAATGTAGCTCTCTAGCCGTTGATTGGAAGCAATGTGGAGTGACTAAGCATGTTTTGATTTAGGCAGGGTATCTTGGGATACCTTTAAAAAATAAAACCAGATATAATATCTGGCAAGGTTGGAATCAGACTAGGTAATTTGCTTCTAAAAATTAGTTTCAGTGAGTCCCAGGGACTGATTAAGGTTTATTTTTAAAAAAGCGTCCACCTTGGTACGCAGCCACCTCCTGCATGCTGTGCATGTTATTGGGACTCGTATTACAGGAAATGGTATGTGAGGATCCAAGCAGGACTCGGTGCTGCCATTCTCCTTGTCTCTGGTCTTCATCACTAGACCCAGGAACCCTTTACCACCTTCCCTGCACCCTTCCTTTACAGAGGAAAACGGGCCTCTGGCCACAGACTCAGGCTGTTAGGGGAGAACCCTCCTTTCTGCCTGCTCTTTCCTGTCCCTTCCTTGAATCCTCTCCGCCATTAGTGGTACTGGGACACTCATAGGACAGGCAGAGCAACTATTTAAAACCTTGTAATTGGAGCCTTGCCTCCTCCCCTTCTTTCCCTCCTGCTCCCTTTCCTCTTCCTCAGTGCCCTCACCACCTACAAGGAATTTCCCTATCACTGTGAACTTTGCAAATGCAGAGGAACATCTGCCTTTACTTTTTTTTTTTTTTTTTTGACCATAGCCACCTAGCTGTTCCTTAAACCTTCCTTTCCATAATTTAAAAAAGAAAAAAAAAAAAGCCTTATTGACCTGGTTGTTCAAAGGATAAGAATAGCTTTATCCTCCACTCAGTACCAAACCCACTTCAGTACCCTTACTGAGGCCATGAAAGCCTGAGGGGCATGTGGCTGAGACCAAACGGGGACCAGGAAGAAGGGGTGATGCCCCCTTTCCCCACCATCTCCTCGAACTTCTGTCAGCGATGAGCTTCCCTGATTGGGGCAGACACCTCCCACCCTGTACAGTAGCTGGTCACCGTTGAGTGCAGTCCTGGGGGCCAGAGGATAGCATGCCAACTCTGTCAGCACCAAGGATCTGTGCACATCTCAAAGAAGTGAGAGGGAAAGGAGCACCAATGAGTCCCCCCCCCCCCCAAACCTTTTACAAATGGCATTTTGTTAAAGGAAATCTAGGAAGCAGGTGTGATTACTTTTTTTGCTCGTAGATATTGTCCTAAGTTGAAATTCTCCTACTACCCTAAACTTTCCCCTAGTAGCCCTTTAAATCCACCCCTTCTTTTTGGTAGTTGTTTTCTCCACCCCTCTTCTACCTCCCCTCTTTATCTAGGAGCTGTTTGTAAACACGACTTTTTTTTAAAACAATTTATATTGTACAGGATCAATATTTTACTTCTAACAAGGATATTTATGTAATAAACTTTGCCTTAGGCAGGTGTTGGCCAGAAAAATCCAGATTCCTCTGGGACCCCAGCCTGGCCTCTCCTGGAACTCTGAACCTGCTGTGGAAGGAATTGGCTGTGACCTTCACCACTGGAGAGTAGGGGCTGTGGCTAGGGAAGAGGGTGTTGTGGTTCTGACAGGAGAAGGAGTCATCATAATCTAGTGCCTCTGTTGAGGTGTTTGGAAGAAGTGTTCTATTCCAATTTCTTTAGATATAAGCTGATTTTCTTAGCTGATTCTCCCCATATGCACATCTCCCCCTCTGAATATTCGGCACTAGAGCTCCTGAAACACCACTTCTCATACGCGCCCCTCCCTCCCAGTGGTCAAGGCTTTGGAGCCTCTCTTTCGTAATGCCAGATTATTTAAAGATAAAGATACAAGACAAAAACCTTCTAGCACTTTGTAAACACAGTGAATAACCTCTTGGAGTATTTTTGGCTTTATATAAAACAAGGTTTTTAATTGTAAAATATAAGTGCCATTAGAAAATGCACAGGGCATATCTTTGTTAAAGTAGATTTTCAATGTTTTACAGAATTACATTTTCAAAAAAAGTTTTTATAATGAAGTTGTTTATTAAAAACTTCTGAATGATGTGTTTGGAAGTTGTGAACCTATCTGATTGGGAAAGGGCTGGGGAGAGCCTGGGGGGAGAATTGGAACCTCCAAACATCTTTAGCATCTAAGGAGATGATGAGTATAGGACAGGAATGATCTACACTTTGGCACCTAGAAACTTTGCAATTTGAAATAAAAGATCTAGGGTGCCTTTGAGGTAAGTGGCATCATTTATCACTTAATCTTGGATGCAAAGGTCAGGAAAATCAAATCAGCTTAATGAAATTTCATGAAACTGGAAACGCCAGATGTAGATTACTCTTTAGGTTAGGATTGATCCAGCAGTTCAGAAGGTTGATCTGAGCATTCTCATTTCTTTCTGCCCTATCTCGTGCAGTTGTGACTGCATCCTCAGGGCCTACGAAGTGGCTTGTCCCTTTGTGTAGGAGTAGAATGCTGCTATGATTCCAGACCCGTTATTCTCACACAGTGCTGACCAGGAAAAGAAAGGGAGTCCTTTTATTCACAAAAACCCCAGGAAGCATCTCCTGTCTCATTGGCCTTGATGGGATTCTGTGCCATCCCCAAACCAGTCACCAAAAGCCAGTGACGACGGGAAAATGTGTTTCTCAGAGGAAATTTGGGGTACTATTATGAAGAATGAATGGATACTGGTTGTCCAAGAAAAATGTTATCCACTGCTCACGGTGCACAACTGGTAAGTAACAGAGCTAGGACCTGACCTTGCTCACTTGTGCCGATCCATTAGGTTCAGACAAACTGTTGAGAGGTTGACATGGCTTGGCCAGTCGCTAATAAAGGTAGTTATCACTATCTTGGGTCCCATCACTTGTGCTGAAATCCTCCCATCCAGGGCTCAGACTGAGCTTGCTTTTCTGTGGTCTGAAGCCAGTGTCCTTAGCCAAGTAGTGCAACTCTGGAGTCCAACCCAGGAGTCCAAGGGGCACTAACAAGCATTAATGTGTGTAACAGGTGTTTTGTGTAAAAAGGGCAGTGGGCGGGCCCTTCATCTCTTTGGCCTTCCACTTGACAAATGTTCACTGTCCATCTCAATGGGTCAGATCTCTGGCTAGCGCCCCAGTGAAATCCACCTTGCCCTCTTGGGGAGTTTGTGCCCCAGGATGGGCCTGCGGGCTCAGACTATCTTACCCATTGCGCCAGGGGAGGATGAAGGCTTTCTGGAGGAGGTGGCAAAAATTCAAGGCAGAACAGGGACATAGGTATACTCACCTCCACAGGCTACAAGTTTTGAAGCCAAGACCACAGGAACACATGCAATTGTAGGATCAGGGCTTCAGGGACTGGTCCATCCAATCTCTTAACCCAGTGGTCGGCAAACCGCGGCTCGCGAGCCACATGCGGCTCTTTGGCCCCTTGAGTGTGGCTCTTCCACCAAATACCACGTGTGGGCGTGCACGTACAGTGCGATTGAAACTTTGTGGCCCATGTGAAGAAGTCAGTTTTCGGAAAGGAGATAGACGAAACAAGTATACAAGACGAGTGTGGATGGGAGAGTTGGAAGGGGTCGACCTCAGCGAACGTACCTCAATCAGATTGAGGACGTCTTTAGCAAAGGCCAGCTTAGGAGTACCCTAATTAAGTTGATAACAAGGTACCTACCTATATAGTTTAAGTTTAAAAAATTTGCCTCTTAAGAGAAATTTCAATCATTGTACTGTTGATATTTGGCTCTGTTGACTAATGAGTTTGCCGACCACTGTCTTAACCTATTCAAGCACAGACACACCCTGCACTTCAGACTCGAGTTCACCTTTGGGAACTGTTTGGTACAGAGCGGAGGGGTAACCCCAGAGTCTAAGTCAAATTGTCTACCTTTCAGCCTACTGGCCCAGAAGGGCCCAGCTGGTGGGGAGGAAACCAGGCAGATGCCACTTGCTCCCTGGTTGGCAGTACTTGAGACCCTCCCTTGCCCCGGAACCTTTTACTCTGACCTTGTTTCTCCTTTCTTCAGTTTGAGCACCTCCATGTGCTCGTCAATTGTCAATTACTGTCAATTCAGCACGCAGTTTGGTTGCAAGGGATACCTCTTGAGCCCCTCTGCATACGCCTGAGTAATTTATCCAGTGCAAAGCTGCCCCAAAGCCGCAGAGGACTGAGGGCACCTGGAGACTCGCACCTGCCCACCGCAGATGGCGGGAACGGTAATCGCCTGGCCTGGTAGCTGTGATGGAAGATTCTGTCTATAACCGGGGGTTGGGCTTGACCCCTGATGCTTACTCCGAGCTGCTCCTTGCTTGGTACACCCCCGCACTTCACCACCAGCGCCTTACTAATACGCGGCCAGTTCTGTCTGGCACCTGATGTTTCATCCCCACCGCGAAGTTCCCTGCTCCTCCGCCAGGCCTGGCCCTTTGCGACCCCAGCCTACCCTCCTCTGTCTCTTCCTCCCCACCCTACCCCGCCTTCCCTCTCGCAGCCGGGCGACCCTAGCGAATCACATCCCAATAAGAGCGCGCGAGGTGGCTGAGCGCGCCAGGGAGTTGGAGACCACACGTTCCGCCAGCCGCCACTCTCCAGGAGTCCCCTGTGTTGCCCGAACTCCCCCCACCCCTCACTCCCCAGACCCTTCAGGCCAGAGGCTTCTGCAGGTGAAGGCGGAGGAGAGTGCGGAAGTCCTGGAAACCACCGCGCGCCTGCCGCCTGGCTTGGGGGCTTGGGCTCGAGAAGCAGGGGAATGCGGGCACCCAGACTCGCAGCCGCCCTGGGACCACCTCGCCAGGTCCTGGGAGCCGGGAAGCGGCCTACGCAGCGACTGATCGTAACCTGGAAACCGGCCTTGTTGGGGGTGAGGCCGCAAAAGCCTGTGGCGCAGAGGGGTGGGGGGGCTCCTGCTGAAGCGGGGCGGGAAGGCGGAGGAAGTGATTATTGAGGAGGGCGCCGCCATCTTGGAGGAGGCCGATTGGGGGGTGCAAGAGCAGCAGGAGGCAGAGAAGCTGGAGGTAAGGACGGAGGCACAGGAAGGACCGGTACCTCTAAACCTTGATGACCCAGTTATGGACCCACTGGAGGCCATCCAATGGGAGCTGGAGGCCATGAGTGCCCAGGCCGACTGGGCCTATCTGCAGCTGGAGCGCAGGTTTGGGCGCATGCACCTCGCCCTTAGGAGCTTCTTCATCCAGAATATTCCTGGCTTCTGGGTCACCACCTTCCTGAGCAACCCGCAGCTGTCAGCCATGATTAGCCCCATCCCTGTCTGCTGCTTTGTCCCACGTGCACCTCAAAAATTACTGTGTGAGTGAATGACTATTCAGAAGTGTCAGAGTGTTATGCTGGGCTCTGTCAACATGGTTCTTACCCAAGGATTTCAGTAGGGCAGAGAAAAGTGGGGGCAATGAAGGGTGACCTTATTATAATTTGTCATTTAGCTGGAACACATCTGGGATTGAAAGGGACATTACTAATAATTACCCTGGGACAAGAGGCCTAACTGGCACATAATGGTCATCTCAAAGAGAGAGAACCCAACTAAAGTCCAGCTTGGCATACAGCTCACCCCAACTGTGTGTGATGTATGTGGTCACAGGGTGGAGACCCCTCTGAAATCAGACACTAAAGCTGGGCTTTTAAGAATGGGCCGTAGTTTAGAAAGTGGGGCAGGAGAAGGGAAATCCTGACAGTCAACAGCATGACCAAAGGCACTGAGATAGAGAAATGCATGATGTGTTCAGGGCCCGGAGTGTGGCTGTTTGGGAGAGGCAGGCTAGATGAGTAGGTTAAGGCCATTTTCTGGAAGTAGAAACTGAGTGCAAAAACTCAGGTTTTATCTCATGGCTAGAGGGTCAAATGTGGTTTGGAGGTGGGAGAGCTCGCAGGGCAGCTAGAGGCAAGGAGAGACGATACCAGCTCTGTAGTATCTTCAGCTTGCATCTTGCCCATCTTCCAGGAAGTTCTCCATGACTGCCCTAGCCCACAACAACTATGTCCTTAGGCCCAAGACAATGGTGCTTACCAAAACAAGTGCCTACCTGATCTTTCTGCTGCATGACCAGTGGCATGCTGCCTTCACACTGAGCCTGGCCTCGGCAAGTGTGTGTCCCCGCCACACTTCTGGAGCACGAGTCTCATTCTCAGAGCCCACTCCTGCTTGCTCACTCATTCAGGTCCGGAGTCACTCATCTGTTTATCCACACATTGTAGCACCGCCTCTGTACTGGGCACTGGGGACACAAGACGACTCTATTCAGGTCTCTGCCCTCAGTGAGCTCAAGAGTCCAATGAGGCTGAAAACAGTGACAACTACTGACATTTAGTGAGCACTTGCTATGTACCAGGTGCTTACAAAGATATAGCAGCCAGAGTGGCTCTCTAAACCATGTTGGGCCATGTCCTTTCTCTGCTCCAAACCCTCCAAGGGGTCTGACTGGATGCAAGAGGAAAAGACAACATGCTTCTCATGGGCCGTAAGACGCTCATGATCTGACCTCGCCATCTCTCCAATTTTATTTCCCATGCTTTTCCTCCTTCCAGTGACACCAGCCTTCTGCTAATCTTCAAACCTGTCTTAAGACCTTGCTTGCTCTTCCCTCCACTTGGAACCTTTTCTAGATATTTGCATGGCAGGCTTCTCGATTCATTAAGGTCTAAGCTCATCTATTGCAATTTCATCTCTTCAGGGAAGCCTTTCCTGACCACCCTTTCTAAAAAAACACCATCACTCTCCTTCCCCTTTCTCTGATTTGGGCTTTATTATAAGACTTACAACCATCTGACATTATATCGTGTATTTATTTATATATCTGCCTTTTTCTCTACACTTACGGGGACTTTGTTTTTATTCACTGCTGGACGCTATTCTATGTGAGGGGTGTTCACCTAGAACCATGGTCGGCAAACTACGGCTCGAGAACCACATGCGCCTCTTTGGCCCCTTGAGCGTGGCTCTTCCTAAGCCTTAGGAGTGCCCTAATTAAGTTAATAACAATGTACCTACCTATATAGTTTAAACTTAAAAAATTTGACCCTCAAAAGAAATTTCAGTCGTCGTACTGTTGATATC